TTTGACATACGATTTTTTCGTACGAAATTCGTACGATTTCGTGTTTCAAAATTGTACGAAAATCGTACGATTTTTTCGTTCAATCGTTGTTAAATCGTTCAAAATCGTTGACATTTTCCTATTAGGGGTGGTTCACTCAAACTTCGGTCATCTTATCTATTTACCCACATCTGCATATTTCCTTAAACTGCATTAAAATACACACGACCTAGTGAAAGAAGATGTTTAAGGTGATTCACTAAAAATGTCAAAATGCCTAATTAGATAGCTGACAACTTGAAAAGGTATTAGTATGCGAATAATTTAGCATATATCAGCATATTATCTCCTAGTTGAGTTTGGTTTGGCGTATAAAAAACATAAGTTGAAAATCATTATTCCAACAGTCTACATCTCCAATAACAAAAGTGTTGTTACCCTAGCGATTTCAAAAGCAGGCTTCAGTCACCACAGTGCGGTAACAGCTTACGCCTTTACAAACTCCCTCGCCAAATACGTAATTTAAACTGTTTAAAACAACTCAAACTATGACTAGACTGGGGTTCTTCAGACTATTGCTCGATGTTATGGAAAAATTCACCCTGTGTATGTAACACTGCACCGCTTGTGACTGTTTAAATATTGGCTGAACTTTAATGTCAACTGGAGAGGTTTGGTTATCACTTCGACATGTAGGGTTGAGAGATATGCTAATAAAATTGTAGATCACTGCTCTCACAGCATGGCAGTGTGTGGAAGTAGAATTCACCTGATATGTAGAATATATGTATGTGGTTGTTAATTAAGTTGGAACAAATGCAGAACGGCGAAATGTTAATGTGCGCATGCGCGTGCTGCAGAAAGTCTCAATTACGATACGGCCGAGGTTTCGGCTACACGTCACCCTTTTTTACTCGCAGGCACATGAAAACCGTCTTTAGCTAAATTAAAAGTAAGGGCCATTTGACTTATATATAAGGCTGATATGGCCATGAGCGGAAGCTACATGACAAAGAAATTAAATTCTAAAAGCAACATCAACCTAAACCAACCTTAACTATTATTTACCAAATATTCTGTCTTATTGCTTTCGGGTTTCTGAATATAATATGGCCGTTCCAAACGGCTATACGTATCTAAAATCCAAGCTAGACACCGAGAAATCGTTAACAATGACGGAGTTCTTTATAAGTGGAAGAAGGCGCAGACAGACATTTGTGTAAATACATTTTTTTTTCAGGTACGTCGTTCGATATATTGGAGATTCCCAAATAAGAAGTAAACAAATTGACTATATGCAAAGGAACTAACATGATAGAATGTACATTTACTTTTGCAGAGGGTTACAGCAAACGATGTTTTGGCAGGGCTACAGCTGCTGCGAATGTTACACTTGGCTTCAAGCACGTTTCTGACTATGGAGTTTAGGCACCTGAATTCTAACTAACAAGGTCGCAGTGTCGAACCTTGGGGTTGCTACCGCGGCGTTCAGTATGGCTTTTGGATAAAGGCCTACATGCCAGAAATGAGAATTTTAGTCTAGCTTGTTGTTGTCGGCAATGTATTTCTGTGTATTATAGCTAAATTTATATTTTAAGCGCCCGGAGGGCACTGTTAAACTAAATTATGTGTATGGTAAAATAATATCAAGTCATACACTGTTGCTCTTTAGGAGCAGCTGGATAAACAGCATAAATGTGTAGTATGGTCGGGAGAGTGCTTAACTTCCGCTATCTATTCGTCTTTTTTATACAAAAGTTAACAATCTTTATATAATGAAATGAACCGCAAAAGAAACGGTGAAAAACTTCCATAATGCATTCAGTGTCATATTCCAGTGAGCCCCCTGTTGAACATAAAATTCTTCTGTGGAAAAATATCGAGGTTAAGGACGGATTGATGCGATCCAATGAGATAGAATCGAAATCTCATGAGAGCGT